CCTACATGTGTGGCTGCTCTTCGGCAAGTCCTGCTGTCCCTGGGCCTCAGTTTCTCCAGCTGCTGAATGGGTTGGTGACTTCCTTGGCCCATAGGGTTCTGGGAAGCATGGGCTGGGCACCTGGTTGCCCAGGAGCCCTGGCACAAAGCCCCGCACATGCGTGTGCGACACAAACACAAACACCCGTTTTCCCGCTTCCCTTGTCTCCAACCTTGCACAGCCTCACTTCACCTTTCTTGGTCCTTCCATGAGAATCTAGGAGATGAGGATGCCTCGGGCTGCATGCTCGGGCTTGCTGCACCCTCTCCGCCATGCAAGGCTGAGACCCTGCCTTGCCCACTTCTGGGACCTTCCTCTTCCAGTTGGTGCCCCTGGCTTCCTGCTCAGCTCCAGGGCTTTCATCCCTGCCCTCTGTGGCATGGTCTCTGAGCACAGGCCCTATGGGGCAGGCAGCACCATAACCCCTGACAGCCTGGGAGGCAGCCCCCCACTGGAGAAACCCTGATACAGAGACATTGAATGACTTGCAGAGCCCCCTACATGGTCTCAGGCAAAGTCTATTGGTGACATGGGCATCTGGCCATGGAGCCCTGGGTCTGAGCCTGGTTTTGTGTGACAGCATCAATGTGGGGCTGCTCCGGGCCTGGCCCGGTGGCTGGGGGAATAGCCAACCCTGGACAACTGGCCCCACAGGAGGGCCCTGTCCCTGGCTCACCTTCCTTTCTTCTCATCCTCCTTCTATCTTCCTGCTTCTCCTGCTGTGCCCCACAGTGCCCAGTTCCTGGGTGCCTTTCTTTCCTGCTGGTTCCTGAAGCAGAAGCTCCCTAGGCTTGTGTCTTACCCTGCCTGGTCCTGTGCTTTGCACTCATGAGGTTCATGGAGTGACGTGGTCCCTCACTCTGGTACCCTGGCTCCTGCCCTTTGACCCAACTGTGTAAGACTGGGAGCCAGGTACTGAAGACTGGAACCAGACCCCGGAGCAGCCTTCCCAAGGACAGACCCCAAACGCCCCCTTCTGTGGAGGTGTCTTGGGCCCCACTGTGGTCACAGTTCCCACCTGCCCCCTTGTCATCTTTCACCAGGTAGATGGATGCTGGACACCCTGAGAAGGGACCCTGTGCTGCAGGAGGATGACAGCAGGGAGGCTGTCAGGAGTGCCAATCCCTGGGGAGACGGCCCAGCAGAAGGCTTGGGGGATGCCCACAGGGACACACATGTTGACCCTGTGCCATGCTGACTAGACCAGGCTCTGCTGTGTCCTGAGTGTCCCTTGCTGTCACTGTCATGGTCCCCTCAGGCCTCCAGAGAGGGGAACAGAACCTTCTCTGCACCTTCCTGCTGGACATGCAGCAGGGATTCCAAGATGACAGGCAGCACCACTCCCTTCCAAGGCTGGATGTACACCCTTGGCGTCTTTGTCCTTGCTTAGCATCTGCCGGAAATTCTAGCAAGCTGTCACCAAGTGCAGGAAAAAAATGAAGGAAGGCAAGCTTTATCAATGGAAAAAGAAATTAAAGCCTAGATGCCACTGTTGTTCAATGTAAGGAAACAATTACAATGGTACAAATACTTGTGTGTCACCTTTAAAAAATATTTATTTATTTATTTGAAAATTTATTTTTG